CCCCCCCCCCCCCCGGTCAAAGGCGTCCCTCTTTTCCAATCTGAAAATCTGGTCACCTTAGACTTGTCTGTAAAGAATTACTTGTACAATAGATTCATAAATAATAGGATAGAGATCATTAATAAGAATTGCTGCCATAGATGGAAATTTGTCATACTCCATTCTGGTATCAGCAATGATAAAAATATATTCATTGTTTGATTCTTGGATAAGAACGTAAAAAGTGATGTAACAAATATATTGCTGAAGCAAACATTATCTGGCTATATGAGAATATAAAACTAGGTAGTATTCATTTGTGAAATATTTTTAAATTCATGAGTTGGAAAGTGCAACATAAATGAAACACACTATATTGCAGATTATAGAATAATAACTCATGAGAATTATACTGTTTGTTCTTTTGCCCTAATTTACATGGTTTGTGAGAATAAGATATTTTGTTGCTAAAAGTGAAAAGCCAGTTTTCTTTTAGAAAAATTTTCTTTTGTATAAGCAATAGACACAATATTTTCTTAACAGTTTAGCATACAGTCTGATAAACTTTCTCTCATTTCAGTTTGGTATTCATCCAATTGAAGATCTCTTCAACGATTTGCAAGATGGTCGAAAGCTTTTGGAGCTCCTGGAAGGTCTTACAAATCAAAAACTTGTATGTTTATATCTATCTACTACCTCAGAAAATTTTGCAATGCTTCTGCATATAAAATTTGTTGTAAAATTAGTATTTGTGGACCTTGTAGCTGTAAATATTTTAAAATATTTTATAAACATATAAAGAATACCGTATATTACAATTTGTGTAAGTTGCTGATGTTTTAAATTTCTGTAAGGTTCCAGCAGTTTCCTTGAACCACGGAAATGCCAAAGAAAATGAGACTCGAGACGAGGCTTGCAAAAATATCTGCTTTTATTTATGGCCATAGCAAAAACTGGGTGACAAAACTATATCCAAAACATACAAACAAATGATTGATTCATATTGATTCATATACTCCTTCATTACTCCCTTTTTATTTTAGGACAGGTTGCTATCTGTCAACAATGAAGTAGGGGGAGCATATTCTTTAGGGATGGTACTAAGATCCATGATATTAGCTGGGCGACCGGGGGTGGCAGAGTTCACCAAGGAGGCGATGACAGTCAGAAACAGTAGACTGAACTATAGGCTGGAGAAGATGGATGAGACAAGGAAGGAAAAGGAGACCTCCAAAGTCCAACAAGGGGAAAAAATCCTTTTCCAGTTAGAGAACTTATTAGCAAACCAGTTAAACTTGATAGCACTAGTGCAAGTTTGTACAGGGACATGAGCGAATTTCCTCATCCGAGTAGTAATTTCCTCAATAGTTTTTCCTTGGTCATCAATCTGTAAACATAATTTGTGAGATAAACCAATCATGTAAAACAAAGGTATTCTGGGATATTGTTGCTTTAAAAGTTAGAGCACTAGCAGTTGCATTAGTTATTATTGCAAGCATTGGCTATAACCTTATATTTCTATTCAGCATATACACCTGCTACATACCATCGACTAGGCACATAGGCAAATCTTATAAGCCATCTGGAACATGCTAATTAAGAGTTACCACATCTGTCCATTACCCATGCCATCTGGTTATATTTACAAGTGAGTTACTAGGTTGTGTCAGGTTAATTCCAGACTGTAAGGTGACAGTAAGCCAAGAAAACAGCCTTGCTTGGAATGTATGATATTTCACACTTGTCATTGCATTACATTCTTATCCTGTTTGTCCTATGCATAAGAAATTTATTACCAAACATCGAACCATTGCATTATATCAATACATTTTATATCTTCAGGGATTATGATATCACTATTTCTTAGGGCTACTGTGTTCAAGTCAGGTTGATCTGATTCAATGTCCCAATATATATGAATTTTATATGGGAGCAATCACAATTACAATGTCCTACTATTCCCCACAGGTGTGTATCAGTTTATAAGTACAACAATAATAACAGTAATATTCAGTGATACAGTTACAATCACAAAATCAACACAATCTGTAGAGTGCAAAGTTGTACAGCTGCTTTTAAGATCTTCAGGTGGAATAGAAGAAGCCACCACTCAGGCTGGAAAGACCAAAAGTTGCTACTCCTGCAATGAGGAAAAAAAATTACAAGCAAAATCTGTGCATACCACCCAGTGACGTGCAGTGAGGGTTACCGTTGGTGACGCAAGAGCGCAGCAGCGGCGAGAAGCAACGTCCCCGCTGCTGTGTCCGACAGGCATCTCGCGTTTATGGCGGACATAAACGCAAGACGCTTGTCGGACACAGCGGCGGGGGTGTTGCTTCTCGCCTCTGCTTCCTCTCCCCCCGCCTCCTCCGTCCCCGCCGCAGGACTTTCCAAAAGACTCGGGCCACTGAAAGTCAGTGTCTGACTTTCTACGGAGAAAGGCACGTGGA